GTGGAGCCCTGGAGGAAGTAGCCCATCAAGGGGTAGCCCTGGGACGAAAGAAGGCTTTGCTTTAGAGAGGCTGGAGGAGGAGAAAGGTGAACTGGACAGGTAGGTGAGGTGATTAAGTGCAGACCTTGCCACTTGCGGTTATTTCCATCAATTGAAAAATCTAAATGATGATCAGTTCTTCTCCATTCTCCTGGAGACTGAGCTGTAATCTGTAAAGTGAATCTCCTAAGTGCATGTCTTTGGGTGACCATGATTTGGTGGGTGGGTTTTACATCACTTAGGGGAGGACGTTGATAGTTTTCCTTTGAATGGTACGTTTTACTTTCACCTCTTAGTGGGCTGTTGGGTTTAAAGGATGTCTTAGTGTTAGAGTCATAGACACACATGTTCACAGAACTAAAATCATTTGATTTATTTCATTATATAGATGAGAAAACTACAGCTGGTGAAATTAAATGAACTGCTTAAGCTGTAAAGTGAGTAATAGCTAATTAGTGCCAGAGCAGGAACCAGAATCCAGCTCCCTTTTTTCTGTTCAGTACTTATTCCATGCCACTATTTTGGGGGGACTTTCTGACAATTTAATGCTCAATTTCTTGCAGTTGTTATACAGTGAATAAATTTCTAGTTGGTTGGGGAAGATGGGGGAATTCTGTAAAGATTTTATACTTTTATGCGATGGATTTGAATACTGACATATGTATCTCTTATTGATCCATGACTGTTGTTTTAGCTATTAGTTCATTTCTGACCTGTGTCAGTGTATTTTGCTTGCCATCGGCATGATGCTAGTTATGAGCGGGAGTTTGTAATGTGGTTGGATAAGCGGAAGTATCCATCACATTGCTGTTAACAACAGCTCAGTGGAAAGTTTACTGAATGTATCTCTTTTTGTTTGGCTGGACAACATCAAATTGAATTAACATATTTCCAAAATAGCCTTAGTTAAGGTTATTTCTCAAGGGAAGGGTTCTCGCGTTGGAATTATTGAACTCCTTGAAATGGCATGCAGAATTTTGTGTGTATGGTGCGTTTGCCTGTCAAGAGTTTCCCATGGTTTTTGTTACCTTTTTCAAAGAGTATCTGACCAAAATAAAAAGATTTAAGAACCATAATACTAGAGTTTTTCCCTCAAAAAAAAACCTTTCACTTAACCAAATTTTTGAAATATTGCATCTTAGGTTTGATATCCTACAGACAAGAATCACCAGAAATGAAAAGTAATATATTTGCTGCATCCTCAAAAATATTACAGGGTCATGTTGTGGTTTTTCTCTATGCTTAGTGTCCTTTTATGTTATTTTGTGACCCACCTACTTTTTTTTAAAAGTCAAAATTATAGTATTTCAACGTAGTAAATGTATAAATGGGTCAAGAAATTTTTTACATGCAAAATGGTTGGAAGGCATTAAAATGAATCTTAATGGGAAGTAGGAATTAGTCCTGTGTGGTCTGGATTGAGACATATTATTTATGCTTGATGGTTCTCTCTCCCTATTCTTCTGACAGGCCCAAATCTACCATACCTCTCTTCCTTGTTGTCATCGGTCAGAATGTCCTCCCCACCCTCCCACACACACCCCCCCACACACACAAACACACACACCCCCATCATCATCATGCTCTCAGTTTCCTCCTTCCTGCCCCTCACTCACTCCTCTCTGCATTTCCTGTAACTTTAGGAACAGCTTTTTCATGAAAAGCAAATCCCTGTATCTTCTTCAATCTGTCGTCCTGGTGTCTTCCACTTCCTTGCCTTGCTTCATTTATCTCCTCTCAGACCTCAGCGTCTGGAAGTTTGGCTTTGTTCTCTTTGCTGCCTGTTCCAACACTATTATTCCTCCATTTCTTTTTCCCTTGAATCTCTGTTCCTTTGATGTTCCTGTCTTTTGCCTGAACCAACCTTTTGTTAGTCCTCACTGCTGTTGTCTTCTGAACAACCTCATGGCCACTTGTCCTCATGCATTAAAGACTTGGGCACTGGCTTACAGTTTTCTTCTGCACCCTAAGCTCTTGATGACCATAACTTGTGCATTGATGTGGAAAAACACTAACAAGTCGAGCTCCTGGACTTTCAGTTCCTTGACCATCAGTTTCCAGTGACCTTCACCTCTCATCAGCAGTTCCATCCAGTTCCCCTCCTTCAGAATCACGAGCTCACACATCCCATTCTGAGCGCAGCCGCCAACTTGGGCTTCTCGGGTCGTGGCCTTTCCATGACCTGCAGACCCCTACTTCTCCCAGTGCAGTAGTACTCTTCTTTTGTCATTGTTTTAACCCAGTTTCATGTCCGGATTTATGATTTCAGTAACTCCCCCCCACACCTTTTTGCCACTACCTTCACTACCTCATTTCTCTACTTTTTCCTTGAGTCTCTTACCCCTGAATGGAGCAGTCCGTCTTCTCTACATGCTTCTGAAGAGCTGCACATTGCTGGGGAAAGTCCCATAGGAAGGTCGATGGGGTCCACGATGAATTCATTATCACACATCCTAAGTGGGCCCTCGGTATCATTGAAAATCCTCCTAATTGTTTTACGTTCACCTCCTTCTCCTTTGTGCAACATTGACTGAAAATTTTATTTGCTTCACTAGTCTGTTTACTTTTGTTGTTCACCCTCAGCTCAGCAGGTAACCAGCTGCTATGTCACAGAGAAAATAGAAGCTCACCATTAGGAGTTTTCATCTTCTAGCTCCTCAACATACAAATCTGCTTTCTGTTACCATCAAAGAGCCTTTCTCCTGTCTTGGTTCAGTTTCTACTTGTGCTTTTTGTCTCATCCCATTCTACCTTCTCAGAAGTTCTAAAATGATCTTTCCCTAGTATTTTCAAACAGCCCCTCTGAATTTTATCTTTTCCATCAGTGGATCCCACACTCCCTTTATTACCATTCTACTACCTTCCTCCCTTTCCAGCCAGACTTTTTAAAGTCAATTGTACACATCTACAATCTCCTATCTAAAACCCTTGGGACAAGATCTGATTCAGAATTCAGAATTTTTTGGATTTGGAAAAGTGATACATGTACATGCCATCTGTGGTGTGATGACCCCAGGGGGGTATGGGGCAGCACCCTGTAATCTTCATGCTGTTCCTTCTGTGCTGAAATGTATAGCTTTTCACGTCGAATGGAACAAATAAGGACTGCAAATAGCCTTGTGTCAGTCCAGGTCAGCCTTTGCTTCCAAATGAGTTATTAAACAAAACAAGACAAAACATCCTTAATTTTTCAGAGCTTTTAGCTTTTGAAATAATGGATAGAAGATCATGGACATGGACTTGCTGCTCTGTTTTCTCACCTTCTATTTTTTAACCCATTCTGACTTCTGCCTCCCTTGCTGGTCTCAAACAGCTCTTGCTAACTCTACCAGTGAGCTTTGTCTAAAGGGATCATGTCACTGGGTGGGCATTTTCAGTCCTCCTCTCACCTGACCAATCAGTGGCCTCAGACCCTGGTGATGCTAGCTTCATCAAGCGCTCTCTTCCCTTGGCTTCCTTGTCAGTACCCTCCCTGCTCTCCTCCTTGTCCTCTACCTTGGAATTAAATGTAGGATTATCCCAAGGTTTTGTTCTAGGACCATTTCTCTTCTCACTCTGTCTCCTCTCCCTTGGTGATCCCATTTATGTCTGTGCCTTCAACTACTAACTGTGTGCTGATGGCTCATAAATGTGCCCTCCAGCCTAGACCTCTCCCTGAGCTTGACTCTGTCCTCCCTCCCCCGCTTGCTTACGTCACATTGGTGGCTTTCGGCTCAAATCTTACCTGGCCACCACCCCCTCTTCAGCTTCACTGCTGTGCCCTCTCCCCTCTGCTTTTCCCCCCTTTGCAGTGCCATACTGCCTCCTGCAACAGGGCCCTTGCACAAGCCACTTTGCTCCCAGTGCTATTCGCTTTCTGTTTAGGTGATTCCTACTCCTTTGTTGCATTGTTGCTCAACTCTCACTTTCCTATGCAAGTGCCCTAATCCATATGCCCTATTACCAATCTGATGGCACCAAATACAAATTATAACACTAATAACAGTTTTAATTTTCCTTTTTTTGTGTGATCACTTCATACGTTTTCTCCACCAGACTGTAAGCTCTCTCAGCACAAGGATTTTGTTTGCTTTTGTTCATTGCATTTCCACTATACTGTCTGGTATAGAGTAGGCAAATAGCAAACATTTTGAATGAATTCTGTACATTAATTTGTCTCTTCTAATTTTTGAAAGTAATTTCTGTATATATCTTTACCAGTGTAGCATGTGCAGTTTCTGTAGTTTTATGTGGACACAATCCTGATGGTACTCTTCCTGAAAATTATAAAGATGCATTCTAAAGAATTCCATGAATGACATATATAATTTTAAAGGATCAAATGCGTAAAAGCCTTACTTTGATCTAGCTCATAATTTATCCTCCTCCATGTTCTTCATTTACTTTTTCTCCATTGGCCTCTTCTCCAATGTTCTTTGTGTTTATGGTTATCAGATGCCTCCCTAAGTCTAGTACTGTGTGCAAGTAGAATATATGCAGTGTCCAGCACAATTCAGCAGACTCTCAACTTGCTCATCAGTTTATAGGTGTCACAGGATTAAAAATAGTTTAGCCATCTGCTAACTGACCAAACAATTTTAGTGTTGTGAAAGGGCGTGGTAGGAGAGGGAAATACAGAGGCCTGAGTGTGTTGTCAGAACAAGGCTCCGTGCAGAAACCACCTTGCGACCTCTTAATACTGAAACTTAAGAGTCAGTTCAAAATTAGGAAGAGATTTGTTGAAGGTTAAGCATAGCAAAGTCCTGACAATAGGGGACTTCCCAGAATAGGGTGGCAGAAGTTTCTTTCAGCATTTTAATGTTTTACTGTATTTTTTTAGAGAAAAGAATGTGTTTATTAAGACGTGAATTCTGGGAAAGGTTATTATCATAGTATATGTTTATGTAATTTGTAATATGTAATATATGTTTCTAGAAATCAGCTTTAATTAATTAGCCTCTTATATCTTACTCTTTAATTAGGAAAATCAATAGATTCCCAGTCATCTCGAAGTGAATCTGAAATTGTGCCAAAAGTTGCTAAAATGACTGTGTCTGGAAAGAAGCAGACTATGGGATTTGAAGTGCCTGGGTAAGGTTTTAACCCCTCTCCCCCCGCTTTTTAAAAAAAAAGTTAGTATTGTCTCCTATTAGACTGTAAGAAAGAGACTATTTCAGTTTTGCATCCTGTATTGTTAGCACTGAAGTATCAACAGTGCTCAGTGTGGCATGTTGCAAAGAGAAGGGGATGAAAAATCAGTCTTGATTCTAGACTTATCTGTGTATGTTAATCCATCTCACTATTAATTTCCTCTTGTAAATTAATTACAGCTACTTTAACATAAAAAACCTATGATTTTGTGAAATCTAGCCCTGTGAGATGACTCTTTATGTCGCTAGATGGCGTAGGTAAGCAGCTTTTGAGAATTACATGTAGTTGGTGAATTATGGAATCATTAATTAAATTGTTTTTTTACTAATTATTGTCTCTAAACTCTCAGATTTTCATATTGAATAAAACATATCAGTGTAACAAAAACATAAAATATAAAATGAAACACATCTCTAATTTTAAGTACCTAGTGAAAAATGATAATAAGTCATACATTTGTTCTTTCTTGTCACAGTCTCAAGAATTCTCCCCAGAGTTTTTATAGATAAGGGAGGTGGATTGCTCGAGGTTTAACAGCACAGTTTGAAAACATTAATTTTTAACCTCTTTAAAATTTTCAGATTTTTCAGTCATTCCCTAAATCTATTACTTATAAATTATATATGTTTTGTCTGCCATTTAGATAGATAAGAAACACTATTATCCAATATAAACAATAGAGAGGTTTTTTTAAAACTTCAAAGAATATAAATTCAGCAGCTTTTTTTTTCTCCTTTACAACATTTTTCTATCTAAAGTAATGGAAATAGAATGAGTCTTAGTTGGGAAGAGTCTTAATGATCACCTACTTCTGTGTTTTTATTTATAAAAGCAAGACTTCACTCATTAGGTTTCCAGCTCAGTGAGGGAAGAACTCCGTGTCTAGGACCTAGTAGGTGTTCAGGGTACACTACTCAAATGATTGGATGAATGAAAAAGTTAACTTTTAAATTGGGTAACTTTAGCCCATTAAAATAATTTTGAGTCTTGATTCAGTTGCAAAAAGCTGAATGTATGTCTTTTCTCTTTGAATTGGGATTGGGTTGTCAGAATCATAAATGCCTTTTTTATCCTCACGTCTTTAGTGCCACTTAATCCTGTTATGGGATCATTTCCATTGTGAGGAAAAAAAATAGAATGCACAATTCCTTGTTTTAAGGATTTTATAGTCTCAATGCCAAAGGTTTCAGAAGTCTTAGAAAGCAACATACAAATGATCCCAAATTAATGTATCCTATTAGAACTAAATGCATAGTTATCTATGTGAATAGTTATAAAAATGATTAATAATAAATGATCAAGAAATAAAAATAAATAGTAAATACAAGTAAATAATTCTTGAAAACCTATCTCTATACTTTACAGATGTAATGCAAGGCTTTTAGAACCTTTTTTTTTTTTTAAAAGATTTTATTATTTTTTTCCTTTTTCTCCCCAAAGCCCCCCGGTACATAGTTGTATATTCTTCATTGTGGGTCCTTCTAGTTGTGGCATGTGGGACGCTGCCTCAGCATGGTTTGATGAGCAGTGCCATGTCCGTGCCCAGGATTCGAACCAACGAAACACTGGGCCGCCTGCAGCGGAGTGTGCGAACTTAACCACTTGACTGCGGGGCCAGCCCTGGCTTTTAGAATCTTAATAAGACTGTATGCTTCCTGAGGACAGAGACCATTAATGTTCATCATTGTATTCCTTTCATAGAATAGTTGTTTAATATTTATGGAGTAGAGTCCTTGGGGAAATACATTTTATTTTAAAAATAAACTTGGAAATAGTATAAAGGTTAAATAACAGCCTATGAATTAATATTTTCCTGTGGACCTATGAGAGAAGTCATCAGAATGTGAAAGGTCTGTAGGTGCAGATCAGGATACTCGGAAATGCACAGTATTGCTCGAGGACCGTGCTATATTTGCATTAAATATCTTTATAGGAAATTTATAGTAGGGATAATACTTAGGCTGTCATTCTGATTTTGTCTCAAGAAAGCACAGAGAAATATGATGAAATGCTTTTGAGTCAAGATTTCAGTAGCATAGATTTCTACATAGTGTGATTCCCAATGGCAGCTTGTAAAAAAAGGATAGAGTGCATTGCTTGGAAGAAACTGAGACAGCAATCTCTTTTTTCATGAATATAAGAGATAGTAGATACCTCTCTAGAAAATGCACATAAATAAAAATGGTTAGAACCCTGCACAGAGAAGAAGTAGTGTGATTGACCTCTTAAATCTAATTATTAGCTTTCCAGTACCATTTAAATAACTCAAACAGAAAGATTAAGCCTCGAGATTCATGTAGAAATATTCCAACTTTTGGAAAGATGGTTTAGAAAAAAACCAGACTAGTCATTTTATAATAATAGATAAGTTTACAAAATTATATCAGAAAGCACCTGATACCAGTCAGTAATTATAGCCCTGGACCTGGAATGGTCATTTTTAGACCTCATCTTAGAGATTTTCAAAATCTCAATGTTGGCTTTTATTTCATAATATGTAGAAGTTTTTATTAAGTACAGACTTATCTGGGATACTTTTCCGATTACTTTAGTCACTTCCCTCTAACACTGTAGAATTTAGTGACCTAATTTGCACTTTGCGCAAGATTTACTTGGCGGGGAATGTTAGCATGAAAGAGAGAAAACAGCAGACTTTTCCTGTTGCTGAATTGTGAATGCAGTGATCCAGGAAGATGCACGTCTTGTGATTCCCTTCCCATCCTGAGCATCCCCTCTCCGGGCTTTGCTTTTACCTGTTTTCTGTGTTGGAATTAGTGCCAGCTTTCTGAGAGCTTCTGTAACAGAAAACAGAAAGATCTGAAGCCAGAGACTGTGACTTCTCCCAGGTCTGATCAGAACCAAACCTACATCTAGTCATTCTGGTTGAATACTTTTATTGTAATTTGTACTGTTTTTTAACTCCTCTAAATGTGAATTTGTCATGTTTTGGATTTAGAACAAGCTGTGGTCATTCCAATAAATGTTTACAAATTATAGTCTAAGTTTGATTTCACTTAATTTAGCCTATTGGGATTTTTTTTAAAGAACGAGAACATTTTACACTTATTAAAATGTTTTCCCTGTAATTCGAGATGAAGCTAATCTGTCTAAGCAGTGTTAAAAAATGAACACCAAAATTGGTTAGTGGAGATTTGCAAAAGCAAAATAAGATGGCAATGGATTTGAATTTTTTCATGAAGTTTCAAATATAACCAATGTGACTTTTTCCTGAGGTATAGGTTGAAGGGTCAGTGTCAAGCATATAAAAATGCCCTGAGAAGGAACAACGAACCTGTTAAAGTGGGCAAGAAGAAAGTAGATTTACTATTCTTAAACATTTCCGTTATGCTGCGATCTTAAGTGACTTTTATAAACTGCTTTACGTATGTAGTTCTCTGCCAGCTCCACATTGCGTTGGAGCTCCATTCTTAATAACTTGCAGTGTCACCGGTTCTTTGTCCTAGTTCTCTTTAGCTAAAGTCATGGAAGGAAACGTAAGGCCTATCGTAATCTGGTTGATGAGATCGCATTGTTTATTGCTGTCCATGGGCCAGCGCTGCTGTAGTTTCCATGGAAAAGAGTCAAAGAGCTAGTGAAGAACTAGGATCAGTGTTTGCTTTTGGAGGCGTCTTCATTGTCAAGGAGAGAATAAGTTAGGCTAGGTGGCCTTGTTTCCACTTTACGTGTCTGAGTCGCTCAGCAGATGGTAAGCTTTTGGGAGTAGTAGGTGACTTTCTCATTTCTGTATCTTCTTTTCTTTTCAGCATAAGTGCCTGGTATATGTTGTGGTTTTTAGTAAATCAAGTATTTGTTGAATTAATGAATTGAAGTTCCTTTGCCCAAAGTATTAAGAACATGTAGATATTTAGAGTTAGCTCCCTTAAAGACAGTGTTTGAGCAAAAAAGATCGTAAGTCTCTGTCCTGTTGGAAGAATGAGTTAGGGATAAAACTGTTTTCTTTTTTAATACTAATTTATCTCCAGGAATACATTTGGTGCCAGTTTTTACAAAAATGTCTCCTCACACCACGGGGATCCTTTTTGGCTTGCAAGTGTGAGAAGTATAAAGAGATGGCTTCTGGCCTCTGGCGTTGTAGGACTTGAGTCAAGTTGGTTTAACACTCTTTCCTGTCTCTGCTTTTCATAGAGTAACTGCTGAAGAAAATGGTCATAGTTTCCACACACCTCAGAAAGGGCTTCTTAGTGAAGATGCCAGCAATGCTGCTGCTTCTGATGTTCCTGAGACCGTTTCTAGATCAGCTCTTCCATCCCACGCCATTCAAGCAGCAGAAGAGCAGAGTTCAGTACCAGCACCAGTGAAAAAGCCCAGCAGGCTGAGGCAGCAAATCGATGTCAAGGCTGAACTGGAGAAGCGGCAAGGAGGGAAGCAGCTCCTCAACCTGGTGGTCATTGGTAACGCCCTTTGTTGCTCTGGTTGTCCGTCAGCTCCGCGTTAGCCTGACAGCGTTCTGGCGGTGGCATGGGAGCTCGAGTACCACTCTGAGTCTCTGTGTGGGCCTCGTGCACGTGAACCGGGAGACTGCACCGTAATGCTTCCCTGTCACCCTGGGTTCCGTGATGCCGGTGACCAAGGAGGTCGTCAGATGTGGCTGTGGCACTTTCACTTTGTGAATGTTTTGAAAATGGCATGTCTTGTTGACAATTTTAATTTCCAAAAACCAGGGAAATCCCCCCCATCTCTAAAGAGACATGCTGTTTTTTCTCCATTTAGATGTTTTACCTCTCATTTGATAAAAATTGGTGTTTATTACTCTAAATGCTCACATGAACTGTTGCATTACATGTTCAGGCAATGCCTCAATGTGAACAACAGCTGGAAATTGTGCCTAGTATTAATCCTGAATCAATTTTCCTTAGGTCATGTTGATGCTGGGAAAAGTACTCTGATGGGCCATATGCTTTATCTTCTGGGTAATGTAAACAAAAGAATTATGCATAAGTATGAACAGGAGTCTAAAAAGGCTGGCAAAGCTTCGTTTGCGTACGCATGGGTCTTGGATGAGACTGGAGAAGAGAGGGAAAGGTAGTCACTCTATTTCACAGTTTTTGGTTTGAAATGATATATAAGTGTGTGCTATGTGTTGAATATGTGTGAGATGTACCATGCAATACTGTAGAGACTATTTTTAGAAAAAGCTTTCAATTATTAGGGAAACATTTTTATCGTAGTTTTCATTGTAATCTACATGCGTCTTTTACTCTTCCAAATTCTGTAAGAATAGTTTTAAAAGAATGTTTATCAAAAAAATGGAAAAACATACACAAAAAAGCAGTAAAAACCTTCAGCTGATTGTTGTATGGGAGAAGTTTTAGCTGTTTGCTTCCTGTGTCGGATTGTCTTGATTGAGACTCTTAACCTCGTTTCGGATTATAAAGGGCAGGTAATGTTTGCAGTAGGCCATCTTCTGTCTGCAATCAAAATGACCAGTAAACCCAAATTACCACTTTTATGCTTTCTGTGCTGTGCTTTTATGAGACAGAGTCAACAAGCAAGTAATTAAAGCTGTTTCCTGCCTGACTAGAGATCTAGTCCAGGCACTTAGTCCCTCTGCGTCTGTCAGTGTTCAGTGCTAACCTAGGAAGATTCTAGCAGGAGAGTGCAGCTACCCCTGTACCTCTGGCTGAGAAGAGTGTGTCTTTGCAAGTCTTTTTGGAGTGGGGTTGCATGTCGCGTTAGAACTGTTAGGGATGGGGAGCCAGTGGTGCCTTTGTCAGGAAGGAAAGAGCACACGTTAATAATTCAGTGAAGTGGCAGATAAATCAACGGTGTCACAGTAATGACTCTAAAGACTGAAGTCCTCCAAAAGCCCCAAGTCGACAAAGAGATGAGTCTGTGTCCCGATGTCTTCATTCTGAAGACGATTAGAGAATCTCTTCGGATTTTCATACTTTCGTTTAATGCATATGTTTATTTTCTTGGAGTCTTGGATATGCTACGTTATAATATATAAGGTGATCTCAATAAAGGGGGTCACAGTGTTCTTTAGTTCTTTTGATAAATAGGAATTTATATCATAGTGGGGTTTTTTTCCTTGTAGGTGTCATTTTTATTCTATGTGGTAAAACAAGCTTGTTTTCCAACCTAGTAAGAAAAATTAGTTGGATAGTTGCAGATTTTTGGAAAACTAATATTGGAAAACAGTGGAATTTGGTATGATACCAATATTAAAAAACTAAATAATTTCCATCTGTCAACTTACCAAGCAGATTATTAAAGATATGGCTTTTTTAGTTTTCTTTGTCATCTGTTAAGTAGGTAGAGAGCTTGAGAACAGTATAATTTAAGTTCAAATGACTTGTTTCAATTTACTTAATATGTGAGTTGAGCTGGCAAGTGAGCTAATAATCTGTCTTATTTCTAGAGTGATCAATAATTTGTCTTTTTTTAAATACTACATCTGCTGGTTACCTGTCGTATTTTTGCTGCTGCTAGTTCCCTATTGCTTAGTGTGATGCAATTTTTAGAATATTCCTTCATTCTGTAGATAGCAGAAACTTCCAGATACATAATGGGAGTTTTAACTCACCACACTTTGTGTTTCTTAATAGCGTTTTAAAAATATACCCTGTTGCTCATCCCACAGTGTTAAATATTTGTAAATCCTCTGTTCTGCTTGTTTGTTGAACAGAAATTAGTAAAATAAGTGATGTTTTCGTATCCTTTGGGTTACAAATCCAGACCAGAGCTGAGCCAAAGGAGCATATTCTGGTCAGAGCAGTTGAGGGAGGAGCTCAGGATAAGTCTCGATTTGTTACTCTTCTAAAGACAATCGTTTGGGTATTATTGAAGAGAATTAAGCATCAGTTTTGCAAACTCAGTGGCTCATGGTTTCAGGGTAGACTAGAAGGACTGACTAGCTGGCCCACAGCTGCCTCACTGCTGGGTGCCACAGGATTCACCGTTGCAGTTCTAGAAGGACTGACTAGCTGGCCACAGCTGCCTCACTGCTGGGTGCCACAGGATTCACCGTTGCAGTTCTAGAAGGACTGACTAGCTGGCCCACAGCTGCCTCACTGCTGGGTGCCACAGGATTCACCGTTGCAGTTCTCCAGACGCTTGGTAGTAAAAGGCAGTGCTCATTCATTACTCCGGGCTCTCCTGGGCAAACCAGGGTGAACAGTTAGTAGTGTGTCACCCGCCTGATCTCCCCTTCAAAGTTGCTGGGGTCTAGAATGACTCGGTGCCTCTGTGGAGCCTCCCTGGGCTTCCTTAGAATCTGAATTGACGTTTTTGTGGCTAGGGAGAGGTACTACCTTGGTCTCCAAGTAGGATGAAATGGGATGCAAAACAAACTCCTGTTCATCTTTCTCCATTTTAAAAATTGGGCATCTCCTTTGACATTGCTTGTTTTCTAAATGTGTAACAAGATACTGGATCAACCTTGCTAATGAAAGTTTGATAAGTTTATTTCTGTAGTTAGTAAAGCATAAACATAAGGTGAGAAAACTACCTCCTGGTAGTGGTCCTTCTTCACTTTCTCGTGTGCAGTGTTTATTGTTCCCCCTCTGGAGGTGTCCCCATACGTCTGTCTTTATTCACAATCTACATTGCTTCTTACAAAAAAAGAAAGAAGGAAATGGGAAATATCTGTCATTTTGATTAAACTTTTGTTGCATCCACAACCTTATTTTAAAACCATCCAGCTGTGATTCTATGACAGCAGAAATTCCAGCCCCAACTGATAGCCTAATTATTCAAAATAATAGACTATATAATAAAATTTCCATTGTTACTTAAGAATTTAGACTGTCATTTATCCTGTAGTATGAAATAATTGAATCCGTAACACTGATTATTTAGATAGTGTGTTCTAACCATTCTGTGTTTTCTTTAAGGGGAGTGACAATGGATGTTGGTATGACAAAGTTTGAGACTACAACCAAAGTTATTACATTAATGGATGCTCCAGGCCATAAGGATTTCATTCCAAATATGATTACAGGAGCAGCCCAGGTACAGATATTTCCTTACCTATAGTGCACTGATAGTAGATAAAATTTTCTGATGCTGAGATTATTGTTCTAGGATTATAACTTTTAAAATATTTTTTTTATTAATTTTTTTTGGTGAGGAAGGTTCGTCCTGAGCTCACATCTGTTGCCAATCTTCCTCTTTTTGCTTGAGAAAGATTGTTGGTGAGCTAATAACATCTGTGCCCATCTTCCTCTCTTTTTTATATGTGGGACACCGCCACAGCATGGCTTGATGAGGGATGTGTAGGTGTGTGCCCAGGATCTGAACCCATGAACCCCCGGTTGCTGAAGTGGAGCGCGTGAACTTAACCGCTACACCACTGGGCCAACCCTTAAAATATTTTAAAATTTAAAATTTTAACTGTTTAAAAAATTTCAAAAAATAGAGAAATATTATTTTTTCCTGATATCTTTATCAGTACTTTATAAAACCTTTTCTGATTTGTTACAATGAAGCAAATGAATAAAAGCTATGAGTTTCTTTATTGTAAAAATAATGGTAAAGTGCTTGATGAGGTATAGCCTTATATTTCATTTATTAATAGGTTGGAATGAATATTTCAACATCTGCATTTTTATTATATTTTTATTTGAGTCCTGTACCCTTTTTAAGAGCTAATTTATGCAGAAATAATGAAGCTTGGGAGTTTTCCCCCTGTGGCTTATTTACTTTTTTTATAGGATTAAAAAACAATTGCAATTTGTAAACTTACATGATTCTTAATAAGGATACTGAAAAAAATAAAAGATTGTAACTTTAAATAATTGAAATAGTAAAAATAGCAGTGTACATATAGGACATTCATTTTTTTTATAATAAGTGATTATTGGATAGCATGGAGAGTTCAGAAATATGCCTGTCACTTGGCAAGAGTGGCTTCAACAATTCACCATCTCTGAGTTCTTCCACTCATTAAAAGGGAATGTTAATATGACCATTTGTCAATCTCAGAAGGATGTTATATGAATAAATTAGAATACATTTGAAGATTAGTGAGAAAGTGTTTGATTCTATTTTAGAAAATTGATACATAATTTCAGAATATTAATTTAAGGTTCATGGACTGAATGTGGTAATGAAGAGTGAAAAATAATAATTATCATTGTTGATTGAGTACCTATTATGGGCCAGACACTGTATGAGGTATTTTGTGGGCATTTATTTTAATCTGTATAACAACTCCGTGAAGTACAAATTATCCCCTTTTAAATTAGTATATTTCTAATTGCATTTGCCGAAGGCTATACTTTTCTTTCTTTCCTTATATGTATGAGTCTCGTGTGTGTATGTATCTGTGTATGTGTATGCATATATGTTTGTTCTTTCTCATTCAGTGAATCCTTACTGAATGCCAGCTGTGTGCCAGGCACTGTGGTAGGCAGTGAGGGTATGCGATGGACTTGGTGGTTTCCCTGGAGAGGCAAAGACCAGAACAAGCAGTTAGACAGTAAAATGTTTCTGAATCTTGGATCCTTAGAGTCTAGTAGTCATAAAGATCATTTATTCCAAACTCCTCATGCAGTTAGGGTAGGAAGGGGTTTTAGAGTTTATCTAATTGAATTCCATTATATGACAAGTGAAGAAATAGAATCAGAGTCACTTACCCAGTGTGCAGAGTGCTGTGTAGGCTGTTGGGGATACACAGAAGCACAGAGGATGTGCAGCCTCTCCTCAGTCAGGAAGGTAAGACGAGGCCAACGCAAATGTGCTACGAGAGAATGCTCACAGGACACGTGATGAGGAGAGAGCACCTTCAGCTGCTGAAAGGGCTTCCTTGATCATGTGTAGGCATTGGAGCTCCCAAAGACAAACTTTCATATAAAGAACAGAGAAACTGCCAGGTAGTTTTTTGGAGGTGGTAATAGGAAAGAGGATTAGGACGAATACTTTTGGCCTTATGTATCTTTTCTTTTTGCTGAGGGAGATTGGCCCTGAGTTAACATCTGTTGCCAGTCTTCCTCTTTTTGCTTTGAGAAAGATTGTCACTAAGCTAACATCTGTGCCCGTCTTCCTCTAGTTTGTATGTGGGGTACCACCACAGCATGGCTTGATGAGCGGTGTGCTAGTCTTTCCCCAGGATCTGAACCCATGAACCTAACCACTATGCCACTGGGCCAGCCCCTGGCCTTAGGTATCTTCATACCAATTCAGCGAATTTCGAATTTTAGCCTAAGAAAGTAAATATAATTTGACAGTTATTAGCAAAGCCTGATAAAGAAAGAGATTTATCATTATTGGTCCTAGGGAGTTGGAAGGTCAGCGCTTGGTGCTTTATATAAACTACGTTTATCCCCCAGTGTTTCGTGCAGCAAGTAAATTAATACCCAGGAAGATTGGACCCTTTGCTTGAGGTGTGAGACCTGTTAGTGACTACACACGAATGAAAGCCATGTTTCCACGATTCTCCAGTTTATGCTCTTAACTAAGAATCTTTGACCAAGAGAACTGTATCTCATTGAGAAATTAGAGTCTGGCATTGTACGTCATGAAGGATTGGAAGTGAATGCTGCACTCGAGAGTAGAAGTAAAGCAGGAGTATTTGGGTAGGAATGAAAGGAAGAAGAGATAGAAATAATCCTGTAAATTGCCCCACCAAAGTACGTGGATTATACTTCCACTTTAAATTCTGACGTCCAGAGCAAAGTAACTGATAAATTCTTTGCTAACTTTGTGACCGTTTCCTTTCCCATTACCGTGAGGATTATATGGTAATGTGTGTGAGATTCTTTACAGACTAGATAGCGTAAACATACAGTGACGAGAAAAGCTGTTGTGGCCTTCATTCTGACCAAAGGCCAGAGCACTTGGTGTGGATGAGGACCCTTGAGAGGAAGTGATTACTGTAACAGTCCGAGGATAGCTGAAGAGGGGAAACCTGAACTCAGTCATTGTCTCCTGGATTATAGAAAAGCACATTTCTGTGAAAACAGGTATGCATACAAGGCAAAAGCTGAAAAGGGAAAAATGAGTGTTCCTTTAAAAAATACCCTGACAAGGCATTGACAGAAATAATTGATGAGAATGAAAACAGAGGAACATCTTTGGTTTCACAAACTGTTCATTGCAAATTTTCAAAGGTTGCATCTCCATGATGCAAGTGGAGTCACATAAAAAAGCACCAGCACAAAAGCATTGTCAAGGGCACCTGTGAAACTAGTGTCAGGAGGGCCTGTGAGGACGGGGAGCTCCAGCTCAGCTTTGCTGGCTTCCTCCTTTTCGTGTGTAACTTGAGGTTGAGAGGAGAAGTGTCTTTCGTCTGATTCTCCAAACAGTCCACAAGGGTTAGGAAACTGTTCAAGTTTCTTTTGCAGTGGCTGTAGAGGGCGAATATGCTGTTTTTCATCATTCGTTTATTCAGTTTTTCATCTTTATAAACAGTACTCTGACAAATGTCTTTGTAGACCCCTTACTGTTTCTCTGGGATAAACTCCTAGAGGTGAAGTTGATGAGAAGCCAAGTGTACCTAATTTTAAGGCCCTGGTGCTTAGTGTGAAGGCATGTGAGGGCGCCGCCTCGCTGCCCACTCACAGTCGATGATGTCTTTGCTCTTTCCCGGTGTGGTTGGTAAAAATGGCAGAGGGGAGGACTTTGTTGATGTGTCTTTATTGTCCTTTTTTTTTGGTTTCTAATGAATTTGAGTTTTTTCATGTTTGTTGGCCGTGTTTCTTCTTTAGCAAATTGTTTGCTATATCCTTTAACTCATTTTTTATGGAGCTATATCTTTTTTTCCTTTTTTGGTAAAGACTTTCTAGTAAGATGATAACTTTTAAACCTTATATGTTATAAATATTTGTCCTGTTTACTTGGATTTTAATTTTTTCTATGATTTTCCTCCTTTGCCTAGATATTTTAATTGTTATGGTAGTCAAATATGGACATTTTTTATTCTTCTTTATGTCATTATTTTTGGCCATATGTTAGTACTTTTTCTTATTTTAAAATTTTAATCTATCATGTAATTCTTTTGTTTGATTTGCTTTGGTGTTTGGCGTCTGCCTTTAAAATCTGACCAACACAATTAACTGTATGATGTGCCTTTTGAGTTAAAATGCCGTGGCATTATGTTTTGTTTAGATTGTTTTTTCTTCCGTAGGCAGACGTAGCCGTTCTTGTTGTAGATGCCAGCAGGGGAGGGTTTGAAGCTGGATTTGAGACGGGAGGACAAACACGAGAACACGGCCTCTTGGTTCGGTCTCTCGGGGTCACACAGCTTGCAGTGGCCGTCAACAAGATGGATCAGGTATTTAAAGGCCTATGAGCGTTCATTTTAGATGCCGATTAAGGTGCTGTTCCGCCTCAGTGATGATCTCACATGTGACTGGTGTACATTTTATTAGTCCATTTGCCTTATTTTAAAAAATAAATTCATGATCCTGATATTTAAATAAGTGAGATAGTAATTTTTAAGCTAGAAATTGTCTTGTCATTTTCAAAATTAATTTAAAAATCTTAAAATTGTTTTTAGTTATAAAATAATATACATTTAGTATAAAGAAAATGTGAAACAGCCTATATTTTCAACTCCGCTTTCCTCCAAAAAACCTTTAACATTTCATTTTGTACATCCATCCAATTTATTTTTATACATAAAAATCTTTTTCTTTACAACATTGGATTATAATCTTTTTATTATCTGCTTTTTGAAAAAGTTGACTATACTCTTGTGCGTGTTTCCAAGTAATTAATAATTTTTGTATAAAGAGGTTGTTTTTATGGATTTATTGTAGTCTTTTTTAAACATATACTGTAATTGATTCAATCCCCTACTTTTGAATATTTCCGGTTGTTTCACATGTGTGTATGTATGTATTCAGAAATGGTTTATTCTATGGAAATTTCTGGGCCTAAGGGCGTATTCCTTTTTAAGACTAGCTGTACCTGACCAACATGCCTTTGAGAAAAGTTGTAGTTATTCACTCTTGGCACGTATGGTGGGTTCACTTTCCCAGACTCTTATCAACATTGCTGCTATTAAAAAATTGTTTTCCAATTTGATGTATGAAACAAGATATTTCTTTTTTTTAACTTATTCTTCTGTGAATATTAATAATACTTAAATATACTTTGTATATTTATTAACCATTTGTACTTTTTCTTTTGGAATTAAATAATTTGCTCATTTTTGAAGCTTTTTTGCATAACCATTTGTAAGCATAATTTATTTATTAATGATGTCAACCCTTTATCTTACCTTTTAGATATTTTTCTCAACTTGTTATTTTACTTTTCATTTTGTTTATGGTATGTTTTTCAGTAATATTTAAATTTATAAATATTTTCTTTTGACTTCTTTATGCTTAGATATTTTCTTACCTTGGGATCAGATACATAGTCACCTTCATTTTTCTACACAATTAGTTCTTTTATAGTATCATTATTACATATACCTTTTTTCCTCCTAGTATTTTAGTATGAAAATTTTCAAATATAAAGAAAAGTTGAAAGAATTTTATAGTAAACACTCATGTTATACCCACTATTTAACATTATGCTGCTTGCTTGATAACATTTTTGTGAATCTACCCCGGTATCCATCCATTAATCCATCTTATTTGGACATGAATTTCCAAGTTACACTTACTCGTAAATACTCTAACCTGCATATCGTTATCTCGAGTTCATATTACATGTACATTTTTACATTATTTAGCTTGCGGGAGTGTGTCAGTAATCTTATTGTATTTCAGCAGTTGGTCCAAGCACAGTTTAATAGATTATTCACTTTTACTATCCAAGTTTGAAGTCACTTTTAGCTTATGCAAAAAATTCTGTATGTATTGGAGTTTGTTTCCAGATTTTCTGTTGTAGGAAAAGATACTTTTAGATCATATTTAGTAAGATCTGATGTTCTGAGTTTTAATTTTAACAGATTTTATATTTAATAGATTTTATATTTTATAGTCTTGATTATTTACATTTTATTGCAGAAATTTAACTTTTTTATATAGCATGGTCTGAAGCATAGTTTTAAAGATAAATTGGATCTTTATCAGGTTAATTGGCAACAAGAAAGATTTCAAGAGATTACTGGCAAACTTGGCCACTTTCTTAAGCAAGCAGGTTTTAAGGTAAGGTAATTTTAAATTTATTTAGTTACTTTCCTTAATCTCATCTTACTGATGTGAGTGACAAAAACTAAAACTTTGATACTCTTGGCTCGTTAAGTGTGTTTAATTCTTTTTGCTTTTACTTCCCCCTCTCCCCCTGGTGTCATGTATATCTTATCTCATGTTCTTTGGATTACTTCTCCTTAGAAGATAGCGTATATTTTAGAAAGCTTGGTTTTAGTATAAGTAAAAGGCTTTCCCCCCACCTATTAGATTAGGACTGTGGAAACTAGTAGAGAGGAATTTCTCCAGCAAAAATGTGAAACGTGCCTGTGTTACCAGGTAAAAATGCTTGAGTGTGTTGGAATAAATCTGCAAGTTTCCCACAAAATTGAAAAAGTTAAAAACTATTAGATGGGATAACTTCAGGGTCTCTGATTTCTATTACTTTTTAAAAAGTACATTGTGTTGCTTTTGCAAAATTGGTGCAGTTATAGTTATGGGGAACCTTTTAACTACTTTTAAACAGTGTTGTATTAAGTTTCATATATTCAATCTTTTTTAATAGGAAAGTGATGTAGCTTTTATTCCTACGAGTGGTCTCAGTGGTGAGAATCTCATCACAAGATCTCAATCAAGCGAACTCACAAAATGGTATAAAGGGCTCTGTTTATTAGAACAAATTGGTAAGTATATTTCCATGTTAATTTTAAGGCATTATGAGCTTGATGTTAACTGGTATTTAGAGTTCTTTATGGGAGACGAATATGTATGAAGAAGTCTGGGATTTGTAGTCAGAGGAGGTCAGTTCCCAGTTTTGAAACCATGTGCAATATTTAGACTGTCTGCTACTCAGTTCTCCTGATTTAATTAATGAGGCTCATGCCCACGCCCCCTGCCTCATAGACTCCTTGACACTAAATGAGGTAGCATATGTGAAAACACTTCATAGGCAACAAAGTATTAGATGAATGACAGTGCACTTGCTGTAATTTATAAAAAAGATTATTTTCTAAGAGACATGAGACTATAATGGGCTCTTTGGAGATGATTCCAAAGTGACAGTTGAAATTAAACCTTGCTTTTTGCCGTTTTCCCAGATTCCTTCAAGCCTCCTCAGAGGTCTGTTGACAAGCCTTTTAGGTTATGTGTGTCTGACGTTTTCAAAGGTGAGTGCTGCCACTGCCATGCTGCTTCAGCACGGCCCCACCTCTCCCTCTCTCCTGCCCTCCTTCCTTGCACGGAACTGTTCTCTTGTCTGCAGATTCTCCCTTCTTCATGTCGATGTAAGGCTCATTGCCAGATTAATTTTAGAGTGCACAGTTCTAGTCGGTTAACTCCCCTGCCCAGAATCTTCCGTTTACTCCCCGTTTCCCTGTTTCATACTCGTCTTCCAAGCGTAAAAACCTTGCGCCCTATCTTTCTAGCCTCGTGGTATTTTTCTCCCTTTAAAAGTTTCCGTATCCTTCAACCAGACGAGATCGTTCGCTATTTCTTAACCTCCTGGAGGCCTCATTGCCCATGTCTACCATGCATCACTCCTCTCTCTTTGCTTGCCCGTTTCCACCCCGTCTGTAGCAGTCTAGGTCCAGTCAGGAGACAGATACCACACACGGGTAAAACCGGAGGGTTAATAGCAGAGCTTATTAACTAGATAAAAGATCCTGTATAGAAAACTATGAAATGGAAATGGAATAAAACATCTCAATAAAAATACGATACGATGTATTTATTCATTGGCATCATCAGTATGATGAAGATGTCAGTTGTCCCCCAAATCTCCATTGTCATGGAGCAGGGGTGAAGAGTGGATTGGGAACCGAGCAGCAGTAAGTTCACAATTGGTGAGCTCACCCACACACATACCCCAAGGTCCTCTGTGTTCTCTGTACCCTCTATCATTACATTTTTCCTGCACTTTTCTAGTTGCTTCTATGCTGCCCATGTATTTCACTTAGCTTGTGAACTCCTTGGGGCAAGGACTGTCTCTTCTCTGTCTACATCTTCGGGACCTCCCTCGTGCCTGGCACATAATACACACAATAAATAGATAATGAGCGAGTGAAGGTGCTTTGAAAGAATCCTTCAATACAATTGAAATGCATCACTATCATCATTAGCTTTGAGGTTCTAGTAGTAGAGGAAATATGGTAATGGTTTCCAGAATGCCGCTTATCTGCTTAAAATACAGAGGTGCTGGATTTTCTCTTGATTAGCCATGTTTGCTTACTCCACGTTCTCACCTCCCCTTCTCTCTTCAGGCAGCTTCCTGCCTCTGCCTACGCTGCTGTCCTCATTATGTTCCCGCTGAGGTTATGAATTGACCTCTTGGTTGCCAAAGTCAGCGAACAGTTTTCAATTCTGTCTTAGTTCCGTCTTACTCGAATTTGGCATTACTTTTGAGGCTGGTAGCCACATCCACCTTGAAACTTCTCTCTGGTGGTCTATTTCTCTGACCTCTCCTATCTTCTTGGGGGGCTCTTCTTGCTGTCTCTTAACTGGTGTTCTCTTGCTTCAGTTCTCTTCTTCGTCTACATGCTCCTTTTGGGTGGGTATCAATGAGTTCATCTACCTCGGGCATCTTGATGCTTCCCAAATCTGTATCTCCAACCCAAACCTGTTCTCACTCTCCTGATACAGATGCTAATTGCTCCGGACATCTCCACAGGGAGTGTGCTCTTGGGGTGCCCTTCTCTTGGAATGTGGTGGGATTGGTGTCCCCTGGAATGCATCTTCTCCACCTGTGTGTCTTGTAGACACTTCGGATCCACTGAGGCTAAAATGGGTCTTGTTCCTTGATTTCCTGGATCACAGTTAATGCATCATCCTTTCAGCTTTCTCCCCTTTGTCATTATCCCTCACTTACCTTATCACCCAAAATCTGTCATCCCTTATTCTGAAATCCTTGAGCTTATTCCTTTTCTACAGTCAATGTATGCATTTCCTCTCCTCTCTGACACTCAAATACCATCATGCACCTTCTCTGTCCACCGTTCTTTACTGACTTCCCATTAACTTAACCAAGCATGAAATTCAAGCCTTGAGTGTGACTTAAGAGGCCCCTTTGTTACTTGTCCCTTTCCTGTCTCTGTTGCCTCATGTCTTGCCTTTCCCTCATTATGCCGTGTGATCCCCCATGTAAATGTCACAAGGGTCTTAGCACATCCCACATCCGGTTAGGACTCTGTGCCTGTGCACATGCAGTTTCCTGGATCAGCAGTGTCTTCCTCCTTCTCTCTACCTGTGCACACAAGTTCCTGGTGGCCGTTCTTTCTTCTTCAGAGTGCTCAGCCAAAGTGTAATGGTTCCCTCATCATGGGTTCTTCTGTGCACATTTTTCTGTTTCCATTGTACATTGTAAATAGCATTTGTCTCAGGACAGTGTCATTGTTTTTGTCTTTCTCTCCATTAGTGTAACTCTGTATAGGTAGGGGCTTATATTTTCATCTCTTTATCCCCAGGCTTTATCACAGTGCCTGGCACCTAAGTAGTTCAGTAAATATTTGAAAAAGCAATGAACTCTGACTTTTGGTAGCATGGATATTTTTATTTGTAAGAAACTCAAGAGTAGAATATTTAGTAGATATGCTAAACATTCTGAAATGGTAATTGCTAATGTTTTTTGAACTCTTAGTTTTGGGGAACTAAATATCGCTAACAGTATTATTGGATAACATTACTCTATGAAACATTACAGAATGTTGCCTCATTTTGCAGATCAAGGATCTGGATTTTGTGTAACTGGTAAAATTGAAGCTGGTTACATCCAGACTGGGGACCGACTGCTAGCAATGCCTCCTAATGAAACTTGTACTGCAAAAGGTATTCCTCTGCAAGGGTCTCTTGCTGAACAACCCTTAAGTTGAGACAGCAGATTTTTAAAAGTAGTTTAGTTATTAACTCTAGAGTAAATAACCTCTTACTGAAATTGTAACTGACTGTCAAAATGATACTGACTGTTAAAGATAAAAATGTGAAAACATTAAACGATTTTTTTCTGTTGTGGCTATGTGTGTATATATGTACATATTACAGTCTAAATGTGGTAGCATATTTTTTTTGACGCTGATTCAAGAAGACTGGTTAGGATTTAACCAGATGTAGAGACACCTGACAGATACATTTAAAATAGTATTCAGTAGCAGAACTTCAATCTCACCTCAACCTGGCACTAAGTAGCCAGTAGCAGCACAAACTACTAGGGTCTGTTGTGCTGAAATGTGCATTTCAGAATTACTATATGTTAACAGCCTTGACTGTATTTATACCAAAAAAATTTTTATATATAGGAACACGTAAGTAAGAAAATAAGATGCAAATGCAGAAAATCTTAGTGTTGAATAGAGAAATTGAGCTGAAGTGCCACAGTTACTGCTTTTGCACGTAGATCTAATATATGACCTTTCTTTCATCATAGCTGATAACTATCTGTGTCTTCTGATGATTTGACCATACATATATATATGTTATTCTTTTCTGAATTCTGATTGAGTTTATAATTCTTTATTAGCCTTAGTCTAGCTTCCAACTAAGCTTCTGACTTCAACATAAAACTGAAGACCTGTTATACTGTAAAGTAATATGATTTGTAACAATTTTAAGCTAAATATAACCTACTGGGAATGTTAAAATTTGTTTTGATTTCCATACGTTTCTTTCTGTTACTCTTATTTAGAGTTTATATCCAGAGTTGTACCTAACCAGTTTATAAATTTAAATGTACATTTTGTTTGAATTAATTTGCCTACTTTAACAGCTGATTTCTTAGAGATTGTAAGAGGTTAATGAATATCTATTAAGAGGTAACATGTTTTAAATTTAAAAATGAATAAGGGAATGAAAGCTGCAGTTATTTCCATTTTACCTTTTTCTTTCTGCTTGCTTAGGGATCATGAATATTCTGTTTAGAAAAAAGTAATACGCACTTTAAAAAAAAAAGTTTTATTTTCCATAGATCTATTGTTTTCAAGTTCAGCTCTCTCCTTTTTTGTTCTTTTTTTCTTTTGGTGGAGAAGATTGGCCCTGAGCAAACATCTGTTGCCAGTCTTTTTTTGCTTGAGGAAGATTGTCGCTGAGCTAACATCTGTGCCAATCTTCCTCTGTTTTATGTGGGATGCCACCACAGTGTGGCTTGATGAGCAGTGCTAGGTCTGTGCCCAGAATCCCAACCTGAACCCCCTGGCCTGCCAAAGCAGAGCATGTGAACTTAACCGCTATGCCACCAGGCTGGCCCCTCTACTTTTGTTTTTTTAAAGTGATTGAGTTACAATATTTTTGAAATTTCTTTGTATGTTGATGAGCTTTTTTGAGAATAGGAATGTTTTTTTACAGTCAGTAGGCGTGAGTTAAAGCCGTGATCCTAAAATTATCGTGAACTTTACAGATTGGCTGCCTTGTGACCTCCAAAGTCATAATTTGGTCACCTCTGAAGGTCACCCACCTTATTTTCCTCTCTCTTTCAGTCCCTTCCCCACCAGAGAAACTCCAACGTTTATCTTTAATCCCATGTTTCTTAAAGGTAGAGCCATATCAGAAGCCCCCGGGACCCACCCACTCCTGAGAGCTGCCCTCCTAGCCCACATGCGTTCTCAGGCCTCAGGGTCTGACCCTTCTGCTTCCTCCTCATTGACTTGGTTGTTTAATGCCCCTTTCTGTTAGAGCGCCCGAGGTGCTGCCGTGGCTGACGCACAGACCCAGTGAAGAGGGTCCTTCAGAAGAGAAATAGCGTAGCTTGGACAGTGTAACATGCCTGGGGGGAGAAAAACAGATTTTATATTACCTTTATAAAGTTCTGTATGGTTAATTGATCTTCTAGTAGGAAAGCTCTTCAAATCTTAAGCCAAAGGCAGTCTCTGTTGTACATAAGTAGCTAGCTCCTGTCGTTAGTCCCACGTTTCATAGCAAAAATCAGATATGGTCATTTTAATATTACATTTAAAAACTAAATTTATTTAGTTGAATATTTAACAAACATTCCTTAATATCATACTTGGTAACATTTTCAGAGTCAGGAATCTCTTTGACACCTTGATGAAAGGTATGGCCCTTCCTCTCAGATTAATGTAGATGTAGACAGACATGAAATAGTGAATGAAACCATAGGTTGTCTCAGAGCTCTTAAGTTTCTCCTGGAACTCCCCAGAAGTCTGAAAGGAACGCACTTAACAGTGTGCTCCATGGGAAAAATGAGGATTTTCAGAAAGATACGGGTGAATTATGATTTACTGAAAACATGTCAATTAAGAACTATTCCACGATGGTTGGCCCACAGGCTGTCTTCCTCAAAAGGCTCAAGTTCCAGTGGAAGGGAACTCTCCCGTAAATTTATGCCATGGAGACAGCACACATGAGACTGCTTTGAAAGCCTCTGACGAAGGACACCGAGTATTGCCCTGAGTCGCCCTCCCGGATTATTCCAGATAGCAGCGCCTGGGTTCATTTTCAAGTTAAATTTTCTTACGTCATTCATCTCTTTCTTTTCATCTAACCAGTTATCACCGTGCATGTCTCTCTCTGGGAGGCAGTTCTCTTGGGCCAGAAATAGTGGAGGGGCCTGCGTGAGCACCATGTGGCTAAACACGACGCCTTGTGGGTTCCTCGGGGAACACAGGCGGCTGTTTAGATGGTTATCTAAAAGCAAAGCTCGAGAGAACAGAATACTACTAGGCACCTTCCCCTGTCCCAGCTTTTATGTTATTAAAAGTAATTTGAACTGTATTACTATGCCTGCATTCATTGATATAAGAGAAATATTTGTATGGGGCCTGTTGAATGAATATACCAGCTGAGTAAATGAGTTTAACAATCTTGATTAAATAAGCAGAAGTCAGCTTTTTATGGACACCTTATGTTTAGGGCGGTGTTCCAGAAGAGTCAAGTCTGGAGGAAGTGTGTTTTCCTCAACGCTCACAGTTACGCTTCTCACTCTCAATCCATTCATACTGAAAATGATGAGTAGTGACTGCTGAGGCACAGCAGCAAGCTCTCCTGGTTGTTATGGTTTGATATTGAGGCGTTTCACTGTGCGCTTTGGTTCTTACTCGTTTCCAGGAATCACTCTGCACGATGAACCTGTCGACTGGGCGGCCGCGGGCGATCATGTCAGTCTTACGTTGGTTGGGATGGATATCATCAAAATCAAGTGAGTGAGAAAATGAGTTTACGCAGCCAGTGTTTTGGATATAGGACCTCGAAACACGTAAATTTTGCCATTCACCAGCTCAAATGAAAGAATGAGTATTAATTCTGAATTTCATTTGGCCAAAAACAGGCACTTGCAGAAGTGTAAGAATGATAAGTAAAACCTCCTTCACATTGCAGTTAATAATATCAACACATGTACTTCTTCTCTGAGCAAAAACTTTAGGTATGAAATGATGCCAGGGTATTAATGACATAAAGCCATGCGTGGACCTGGGGAGTGTGGAGAGCAGGCCCCTCGTGTCCTTGATTGCTCCACTTGTAAATGGTCTCAGAGGTGTCCTGCTGCATGTATGTTTACTGTCCCCCAGCTGCCTTCTCTCTGTTTTTGTTCCAGTGTCGGCTGCATCTTCTGTGGCCCCAGGGAGCCCATTAAAGCCTGCACTCGTTTCAGGGCCCGAATCCTCATCTTTAATATTGAAATTCCTGTCACAAAAGGATTTCCTGTAAGTTTCAAAATGTTTGTTATTGTTTTTATAAATTCAGAGTAACTTTATCCTAAAGAGTAATAGCTTTCTTTATAAGTGATGATGCTGTCGTTATTTTCAACTCACATCTTATTACTCTAGTCCAGAAAAACATGAAATTAGAATTTGAAATCCTTTTTGTTTTGATCCTTGAGCCTGGGGACTTTTTCAAAAAGGCATTGAGGAAAACTTTTATAATCAATCGGATACAAACTAATAATAATAAAATTTATACAGGGAAAATGGTAGCTACTTTTTTGCTGTGTTCTAAAGGTTACCTGACAATCTTCTCAGATTGGGTCTTTCTGGTTTTCTTTTGTTTTAATATGCTTATTTGTAGTTTTTCTGATCACAAAGTAATACATTGTTATAGAAAATTTTGGAAAACACAAAAAAATACAAAGAATGTTCTGTAATTGCATAATCCATACATATCTACTCGTGCATTCCAGTGTATTTTTGTGTGTACATGTTGTCCCCCCATTGGCATTTACGGGTCTGTTCTGGGATCCTTGGCATGGGGTAAACTTTGTGCTGAAGCACACGCTCAGACCCTGCGTGCTGTGAGGTTGGCATGCAGGTTCTCATTGAGCAGCATCATTTGAACATGCATATTTATGGGAAGAGGAGGATTTCATACTGTAATGTTACTTTATCCACAAAGGACACTACTTGTGAATGGGGTGAATTCCTTGTTTTCTGTGTAAGTTTTTTCAGATATTTAGGGACATAACTCTAATTTTAGAGTTTAATTAATTAAATTGCTTGTCTTTGAAAATATAAGCAGATCATTTTTACCATTTGATGCATCTTTGAAATAAAAGTAAGACAGTAATAGTAATTGGCCTTTAAACTTTTAGTTAGTGATAGTATATTAGAAGTTGGAAATAAATTTATTTAACTCATTTAAATTCGTTTTATGCTCATACGCCTTTATTTGAGATAACCATGTGCTTTGCTTATAAGATGCTTAAGTGCTTTAGTTTTATAATTATATTCCATTTCTCCCATACGATAAAAAAAGGAGTAAAGACTTCTCTCCAAAAAAATTGTTATAGTTGAAAATATTTAATTTTTAAATATTAAAAATTCATGTATTGATAGGCAGGAAACTACGACCTAATTGCCATGAACAAACGGCACTCATTCTTAGAAAGCAGCGTGTCCTACAGGGAGAAGCTGGAGAGGTTGGGACTGTGTTTTTACTCATGCAGCAATAATTTTTGCCATTGGAGAGATAGAGAGGTCAAGAGGTTAACGGTTACTTTGAATAGTAATATCGTCTTCCTGTCTACTGTCGTTTCTTAAAAATAAGTATGAATTGAAAGTTTTTAGTGCTGCTTTCTGAGATTCCACCTGCGTATATTGATTCATGAATACCAGGATGAAATTGTTTCAGGAAAAAATGGTCATGTTTTGTTGTTCAGTCCACTTCCTGTGGGAACAAACCTGTATTCATACATACGTACAGTACATACCAAGGAAAGGCTTTCTAAGCAGTTAAGATTTGACTATTTAGGGACTAATTCCTTAATGCTACATAAATAGATTTAAGTTTCCCTTGGTTTATCTGGTAAACTCACGATATTTTTAAGAAGAAAAAACAGAAGAATTAGCCTTTAAATTCATGTTTGATTTTTTTATTGTGATAAAGTATACATAACATAAAATTTACCATTTTAACCATCTTTAAGTGTACAGTTCAGTGGTACTAAGTACATTCTCACTGCTGTGCAACCATCAACACCATCCATCCCCAGAGCGATTTATTCATCCCAGACTAACGCTCTGCGCGCCTTCAACAGTACCTCCCGTTTCTCCTCCCCCACCACTGTGACCACTATTCTTTCTTTTTCTATGAATCTGCCTACTCTAGGTCCTTCACATAAGTGGAGTCATACGATATTTGTCCTTTTGTGTCTGACTGATTTCATTTAGCATAGTGTTTTCAGGGTTCATCCATGCTGTAGCATGTGTCAAAATTTCATTTCTTTTGAAGGCTGAGTAGTATTCCATTGTATATATAGAACACATTTTTTTATCCATTCATCTGTTGATGGACATTTGGGTTGCTTCTGTCTTTCGGCTACTGTAAATGATAGTTCTGTGAACACTGGCACACAAAGATCTTTTTGAGCCCCCACTTTCAGTTCTTTTGGGTATATACCCAGGAGTGGAATTGCTGGATCATATGGTAATTGTATGTTTAACTTTTTGAGTAGCTGCTAAACTGTTTTCCATAGCAGCTGCCCCATTTTACATTTCCACCAGCAGTGCAACAAGGATTCTGATTTCTCCACTTCCTCATCAACACTTGTTATTTTCCTTTCTTGTGTTGAGTGGGTGGGTGATTTTTTTGTTTGTTTATAATAGCCAAACTGATGGCCGTGAGGTGGATGTCATTGTGGTTTTGATTTGCATTTCTCTAATGGCTGGTGAAGTTGAGCATCTTTTTATTTCTTTATAGATTTTAAGTATTAACCCCTTATCAGATACATGATTTGCACATATTCCATTCTGTGGGTTGTCTTTTCACTGTCTTGGTAGTATCCTTTGATTCATAAAAGTTTTAAATTTTCATGAAGTCCAGTTGATCTACTGTTTTTTTGGTTGCCTATACTTTTGCTGTCATATCCAAAGATTCATTGCCAGATTCAGCGTCAAAAAGATTTTCCTCTATTTTCTTCTGGAGTTTTGTAGTGTTAGTTCTTTTGTTTAGGTCTTTTTTTGAGTTAATTTTTATGTACAGTGTAAAGTAAGGCTTCACCTTCATTCTTTTCCGTGTTTTCCCAGCACCATTTGTTGAAAAAAACTGCTTTTTCCATATTGAAGGGTCTTGGCTCCCTTGTTGCAAATTGACCATCTATGCATTGAAAATTTTTAAATATAAATCACCTGGCGGTGTAAGCAAAATACTAATTTGACTTATTTTGCCGCCTAACAGATTATGTAGCCTGTTATAGTTTATAAAACACTAGATAATTTGATTCTCGCAACCCTGTGTGAGGTACGGCATCCTAGCCCTTATCTGGAACTCTTCAGGCTCGTGTGTTCCAGAGTGAGAAGTGTTCCAATTTTAGAGAGATGATATGGTGTGTGCATGTTATGTAAGACCCCTCACAGAGAATGTGCGACACCCTGCAATTGAACATCCTGAAGATTCCTCTCCACAACTTATTAACATTAATGCTCAGTGAAAGCCATAAGGACTCTAAATTGCCTCACTTCAAGTCTTGTTTGACTACTCAAGTGGATTTATAACAGAATTAGGAAAAGACTTAGGTTTTCAGTCTTTTGGGATTTAGGAGTTGCAGTAGGAGATTGTGGACCTGTCTTAGCTTGTCCCCATTTACGGATGAGGACTTGCAGACTTGAGAGGCTGTGGCACCTGAGTCATAAGTGGGCACTCCAGGACTCATGCGCAGAACTTTTCACCCTGAAACCCAGTGCTTTTCCCTATTGCATTATGCTTCAGATGGCTTTGAATTACAGATGCCTTTGGTTATATATAATATAAATTAAAATGCTAAAGCAGTAGACAGTTACTTGACACTTACATGCGTGTAGATTTTTTCACATGTATTCATTAAATATGTTTTGAGCTACTGTCTGTAAGACGCTGCGGAGATAGAAAGACAAGTAAACCTAAAACCTGAGCCTGTACTGCCACAGCCTATTCTTCATTCACTCTGATTTTCCCCGGGGCCCACACGTGGGACTCGAAGCTTAGGAGGAGCCTAATGAGGTTCATGCGACTGTTCTTTCGAATTGGCAAGAGGTGGTGACAAATACAGTTTCTTAGCCACACCCAAGCCCAGTGAGGGGAATCCCGCTTGTTAACCTCAGCTGCTTTTTGCAAAAGGGGTATTTCTTAGGTCTGTAGCCCTGCCTGTGTGTACACTGGTGCTGCTGGAGGCCTGGGCCCACGGAATGCACACGTGTGGCTCTCACCCCGTTCCCTTTCACCCGGAAGGTTTTTTTCCCTGAGTTGTTTGTTAATTTTGGGAGGATCTTTCCAGTTCTCAGTGGTCAAATGCCATTGAAAAAGAAAGCTGGTTTGCCTTTGTACAGTAATGGAGGTTCACTTGTGCCTTTAAAGAAAACCAAACTCTTGTGACTGACGTTCTCCATGTGTTTTAGATGTTCTCTGTTCCTTCATTCTTACACTCATTTCAGAGATATTTGCTCAGTGCCAGTGAAATGTCTGGCCCTGGTCTACAGAGTTCTTTTTCTCACAGAGTTCGTGTTTGCAGGAATGAGAGACATTTAAACCAGCAGTTACAGGAAAAGTGAGATGTGATGTGGCGGGATTCTGGGACATGGAGGAAGGATGTCAGCTCAGACTGGGGGTTCAGGCTTCTTGAAGTGATGCTGTTTGGGCCCCCAGTAGCATGGGGTGAGCAGGCGTTGCCCAGGGAAGCAGCCCCCTTGAGAGGGTGTGTTCTAGCCAGAGCGCATGGCGCACGGGAAAGCCTGAAGGGGAGAAAGGGCTTCCTGTGTATAGGGAACCAACGCTCAGTGTGTCTGGGGTGTAGGATGCAAGAGAGGATGGAGAAAGGTGAGGCTAGAGAGGTAAGCGGGAGTCAGACTGAGAAGGGCCAGGTGCCTTGTAGTGGAATTAAAGTTCCCACGGTTTTAAAAAGCAAAGATGTATCATTAAGTTTGTGTTTTAGAAAATCAGTCTGGTAGGCATATGAAGAATGGGTTATGGAGGGACGAGAGTGATGGCAGAGAGCAGGTAGGAACCTGCATCCTGTATTTTAATTCAGAGGAGAGATGACTGTCCTGGACAGCTTTTGTAACAGTGAGGAAAGAGAGAAAAAAATGGACAGAAATAGAATTAATAAGGTGCTGATTGAATGACTCAGTTTTTTCCCAAAGTCCAGGGTTGTGCGTCCACAGTTCCCCTTGCATTTCTGTTTTCTGAATGTGTAAACTGTTCTAGCCAGGAAATTCCAGAGTAGAGAATTAGTATTTCTTCAAGAAAACAGCCTAAAGTGGTATTTACAAATCAAACTTCTCTAGCTTTGCCACTTCCTGGGTATTTGCTCTTTCCACTATACCCAAACTGGAGATGTGTTGCACACTCATTGCTTTTTATTTTAATGAGGATTGTCAGTCTCACTCTGAGTGCAGCCGACCGAAGCATAAAATTTACCGCTGACACTTAGCACCATGGCCACATTAAGTTACTTAACTTTTTTGATATTAAATTTCTTTAATTTAAAACATAAATAGTAATATCTCATATTTAAGGTCATAAATTAACTGAATGTTTACCACCTGCTAGGCACCACGTTAAAGTAAGCTTATGTGAATTTCCTCATTTTAGTGATAAGGAACCTGACCCAGATCATACAGCTGGAAAGTGTACAGTCAGGATTCGAACTGAGGTCTGTCTGAGTCAGAGCTTGTCTCAACTCCCATATAATGTTTTATTCTCGTTATCCAACAGTGCATACAGTAATTACTGCTGCTATGACGATTCCCCTTCCCTCATTTTCATGATGAAACAGTTCACATTTGTTGAACATCTGTATACCAGGCACTGTGTCTGATCCTGTTTAATTCTCATCACAACCCTGTAATAAGGTTACATAATGTATTAAAGTTTGCACAGTAGGTGATGGAGTAGAAATTCACACTCCCTCCCATGACCTTGGCTCCCTGGTAAGTTGGGAACAACCTGATTACAGTGGTGGGGCTGGGAGGGACCCTCCCATGACCTTGGCTCCCTGGTAAGTTGGGAACAACCTGATTACAGTGGTGGGGCTGGGAGGGAGTGAGCAGAGGTCCTGGAGGGCTCTGAGCGGTCGTGCTGAGTTGACTGTGTGAGACGTGGGTGCCAAGAGAAAAGGCAGAGGTGCCGTCGGAAGCAGCGTCTCAGTGTTCCCCTTTCTGTTCTAGGTGCTGCTCCACTACCAGACCGTCAGCGAGCCTGCTGTTATTAAGCGACTGATTAGCATCTTAAACAAAAGCACGGGCGAAGTCACAAAGAAGAAGCCTAAGTGAGTATAACACACGCAAGCCATTTAAGCAAATTCCTTACAGATTAATTCATTTCTATTGTATTTCTCTTTGTACTAAGTGAAATCTATTCTTCCTTGTTTCAGAAATCATTGTTTCAAGGACTAGATTAAGAAAACACAGAAACAAATGTTTAAGCTCCCCCTTAGGTGTGAATGCTAGATATAATTTCTGTCATGTGTGGTGAGGGGGTATGATTGTTAATAAAAATGTGAATATAAATTTATAGGGATCCCTCAAGCCCTAGATACTGATCATGTAAAAATAAAGATATTTAAATAATTAGTCCTACATTTTTAAAGATAAATTTGAATTCTGCCAAGCCTCTGGTTCCAAATTCTGGCTGTGTCCTTCTTCACTTTCTTGTCACTTCCTTAATGAGAATCAGTCCTTGCACTCAGAGCACCCAGGAAGAAGGGGATCTGCATGCTCTGTAGCTCCGAGATTTTTCCCACCCTGGAATTATTTTCCTTTCTGCTTGAGGTCCACCTAGAGCTTTAAGCGAAGGTGATTGCCACCACATTGGTCCCCTCTGATGACCATTAGTGTCCAGCCTAGGTGTGGACAGTTCCTTTTGGCTGGGACAAGGTTGGGATTCTTCAAAGTAAGTGCTTCCTGAGAATCTTGTTTCTTACCTCATTTCAACTAAAGGCTAACCACAGTTTGGCTTGGCTGCTTCAGGTTTGGGGTTTTCCTCACTTCCACCCTATGGGGAATCCCACCCAAAATCCCCTTTTTTCGGTCCTTGGGTCTTCCTCCTCTTTTGCACCTGTGTAAGAGGCCAAAGGTGGTTAGTGGGTTAATGAGTTGGCTGCAAGTAGAAGAGAGAATCTTCACACTGCTCTAAACTCATGCCTGTTTCCCTGTTAGGAGGGAAGAGTTACTTCTTTCATAGCATGGTTCTTTATTTTTAACCTGAGCCTTTGGCTTCTAGCATGAGTGTCTGCTATAATATTCTGAGAAATGTGATAGTAACTAATGGCTAACATTTCTGGAAGACCACGATTTTCTCTGCTGTGTCGTGAATGCTTTTGCGTGGTTTATAGTCTCAGCAGCTGTATGAAGCAGGTACTATTCTGTTTCCCATTTTTCAGATAAGGAAACTGAGGCTTAGAGAGATTGTATAACATGTTCAAAGTCACAGAGCCAGCAAGTGGCCGACCCAGGATTCCAACCCAGGTAGTTGGTCCACAGAAACTATATGCTTTTTGGCAAGAGCCAGGTTGTTTGAGCTCCACGCTTGACTTGGAGAGCTCTCAGTCTGAAATGGGCCCGTCACATTCGATCCTGAATTCCCCCTCCCCTGCTCCTGCTCCAGTCTTCCTCATGTTCATTTGCCCCGTCGCCTTGTTTGTAGCGTAGTCCTTTCTCTTATTCTGTGCCAGCGCCATTTGCCTTTCCCTTCGTTTCCACTTCAGGCACATCGTACACTTGATTGCTTTATATGGAATGGAATCAAACTTTCTAGAAACTAAATTAAGTGCAGACTATATTAGATGCTGTCTTTCCTAAGGAATGGGACTTTGGGCTGAAATTGTCCAAAACCACTATTTGGAAATTTTGAAATCCTTGTTTAGAAACTTGAGTGGCTTGTTCTGAAGGTCTGTCCCTTAAAGAACCTTTCAGAAGGGGAGTTTATGATTGCTGTCCTCTTGCCTTCTGGAGCACATGAAAATTAAATTGGAGAACATTTCCAAAATATCCCCTTTTGGGTTCTGCTTCTTTCTCTATGTGTGGGTGGGGCCCATGCACAAAGATTTTTGTTTGTTTGTTTATTTGTATGAAACTGTTTGCAATTAGGCCCATGCCCTATCTCCCTTCATTTCATACAAACAATATGTTGTGGAAAAATCCTTGTATGATTTTGTCCTGAATCTCTGTTAAAGAACCACTCTTCCTAGGTGAGAAGAGAGGAGGGAGGGAGAGGTTTAGAGTAGTCTGTTGGCACTCAGGGGATTATCCTCTGTAAAGATAATTTCCTAGCATGTGGCTCACCAATTGGAGTTTTACCTGGGAGACACTGTCTTCCTCTTTTTTAATTTTTAAAAAAATCTTATTTATTTTTTTAGGAAGATTAGCCCTGAGCTAATTACTGCCAGTCCTCCTCTTTTTTGCTGAGGAAGACTGGCCCTGAGCGCACATCCCTGCCCATCTTCCTCTACTTTATATGTGGGATACCTACCACAGCATGGCTGGCCAAGCGGCACCATGTCCGTCCGCACCCTGGATCCAAACCGGCAAACCCCGGGCCGCTGAAGCAGAACGTGCGCACTTAACCGCTGCGCCACTGGGCTGGCCCCTGTCTTCCTCTTTTAAAATGCACATGCCTTGCTTTCTTCATTCCATCATTGAACCTCTCAATTTTATGAGGAGTGAAAGGGAGGGCTCTGGTGGAAGGGCTTTGAGCATTTTAGGTTATAGGATCCTTCAAGGGATAGCATTGTATGTGGAAAATTGGTGAAAAAATATATATGAGCTAGCTAATGCTTCTTATACCTAGAATTACTCCTCTCATTTCTTTTGGCTAATCCAGAAAATATTCAAAGGCACGTATTTTCGTTTTAAGAAATACCTTTTTTTCTTTTTAAGTTTTTGAAAGACTAAGTTGATTTATTGATTGAGTGTGAAATAGTTGTTTTTCAGTTGTCAGTTGTTATTACATTTATTCACCACTATTGGATATCCCTCTGTTCTTTTTCTTTTTCTTGATAGATTGTTGACTAAAGGCCAGAACGCGCTGGTGGAGCTGCAGACACAAAGGCCCGTGGCTCTTGAGCTCTACAAAGACTTCAAGGAGCTGGGGAGGTTCATGCTGCGCTACGGCGGCACCACCATCGCTGCCGGCGTGGTTACCGAGGTGCTTTAGAGGGCTGAGCGTGTGTCCGTGCTCATGAGGTCCTCTCTCTCTCTGAGAAGGGGCCCCAAGGTGCTTTAGAGGGGCTGAGCGTGTGTCCGTGCTCATGAGGTCCTCTCTCTCAGAAGGGTCCCCGAGGTGCTTTAGAGGGGCTGAGCGTGTGTCCGTGCTCACGAGGTCCTCTCTCTGAGAAGGGTCCCCAAGGTGCTTTAGAGGGGCTGAGCGTGTGTTTGTGCTCATGAGGTCCTCTCTCTCTGAGAAGGGTGCCCGAGGTGCTTAGAGGGCTGAGCGTGTGTCCATGCTCATGAGGTCCTCTCTGTCTTTCTAAGAAGGGTCACTGGGATTTGATGGCTTAAGGGGAACCCAGTTACGGTTTTAGAACAAGATTTTAAAATTTATATTAAAAAATTAAAAGAATGATGGCAAGAAAATATGTGGTCTTAGAACTTCTCATCGAGAGACCTCCAGACTGTCTTCTCCACCAGTAACATTGCTCAAAATGAAAGGAGATGCGTTGAGGGACAGGTCTGTAAGTACGCAGTCTGAATTATGGGAATGCAGACATTAAAGAGTGAGATGAGTTTTTGTAGTGATTTGTTTAATAAAAGAACTCTCATTAAATTTATGTCTTTAAATAGCTGGCTCTTAGTGCATTTGAAATGATTTCTTTAAAAAGTTCAGTAACATTGGTAATGTTTCTGAAACATACCTAATATATAATGGAAGGTGTAGTTGAATTTTGGAGAAAATAGCCAGAAATGAACCAGAAAATTTCACTAATTTAAATTTTCTTCCACATTGTCAAGATTAATATAAATTATATTTTTATTTTTTTATTTTTAAAGATTAGCACCTGAGCTAGCAAGTGTTGCCCATCTCATTTTTTTTTTTCTCTTCTTCTCCCCAAAGCCTCCAGTACATGGTTGTATATTCTAGTTGTGAGTGCCTCTGGTTGTGGCATGTGGGAGGCCACCTCAGCATGGCTTGATGAATGGTGCCGTGTCCGCGCCCAGGATCTGAACCAGCGAAACCCTGGGCCACTGAAGCGGACCATGTGAACTTAACCACTCCGGCCCCGGGGCTGGCCCCTAAATTATATTCTTAAAGGGGCTTCATTACTTCATTTCATTGTTTTCTGCATACAACTTACTCACTTTGTTTAATTGGGTGTATGCTTTGAACACAGGGCTGTAGGCTGCGCTGAAATTCAGTCTCGTGTGTTCCCTGTTAGTTCTGAAGCTAAACTGCCCAGGCTGGTGCCGCCCCCCGGACTCCAGCTGCACAGGCTCAGCGTTTCTCCCCCGCGTCATTCCCTGTAAAGATGGGCTAGTGGACTGTGTCTCCTGGAGTAGTTGTGAAGTGAGACCATCTGTGCAGAGCCCTTGGCCTGGTCCTTGGCACACGCAGAGCATGCAGTAAACGTCATCCAACGTCATTGCTGTCGGCAGCATCATTTCTGATCTGTCTGAGCATTTTTTATGGAAGAGTATTCTGAAAATGAGATACAGTTTCCTGTGGGAAATAACGGGGAGATGGTAGTAATATCAGAAATAGCATGACTAGAGAAGGGGCAAAGATGCAGAAAAAGGGAGAAAATTTGATTGTGATGCAATAATCATTTCACTGTCATTTTCCTCTTGTTCTCATAATGTGATTTATTAAATTATAGCAAATATCTCTTTTTTCCTTTACAGATAAAAGAATGATGGGTTTCCAAATGCAATGAAGTAGCCAACTTCTCTTTTTGAAGAATCCAGATATTCAGTAAAAGGAGCAATGTGCAATTGATATTTTTTTAAGTGAGAGAGAAAATTGAAGCTACAATCAGCTGCAAAGAAGTATTAGTAACCACTCCTGCAACAATTTCAAGTTGCCAACTGGCAAAGAAAGGCTAATATTGCACTTTTATTTTAAAAAATGTTAATAAATGGATTTACTTTGCTGAGATTTATGGAAACTGTCAAAAATATGTATTGGAAGACATTAAATCATCATGAAATGAACTCTACTTCCAGCCAAACCACAAAATGTTTACAGTTTTCTCCTTGATTTTCAACTATACTGCACAATTTTAAGGAAAAATAACTACATTGGGTTGCTGCCATAGTTAATGTTTGACCTGAGCAGTTTTTTTAGTTAACGCTAAGGGTTGCTGAAGGTTATAATAAAGGTATTATGTGTTAAGCATAAGAATGTTCTTTCTCCAGCAAGTAAACCTTTGAAAGCTTAGTCTAGAATTAGTGGAAACTGTTTGTTTGGTAACCAGGATATTTAAGGCATAAAGCCAGCTAATAAAATGCCTTAGTTTGAGCATAACAGCAGAATGTGTTTTATTTCTTCGATGTTTATGCGATTCTCCACCACTGTCACTGAATATGGCTGAGGGATTTGGTGCATCTTTTTCACGTAAGAGTTTCCCAACTCTTTCACGTGAATTCTTGCTTTTTATCCTAATAGCAGATCAAATTTAGTCTCATCCATTTCTAACCATAACTTCACTTTGTTCTTCTCCTTTTCACTTTTAGAATTACATATGTGATGACTTTATCTTTTTTTTTAAAGATTTTATTTTTCCTTTTTCTCCCCATAGCCCCCGGTACATAGTTGCATATTTTATTGTAGATCCTTCTAGTAGTGGCATGTGGGATGCTGCCTTAGCCTGGCCCGACGAGCAGTGCCATGTCCACGCCCAGGATTCAAACCGAACTGGCAAAACCCTGGGCTGCCGCAGCGGAGCGCGCGAACTTAACCACTGGGCCACAGGGCCGGCCTCATGACTTTATCTTGTATAGCTTGTAGACTGTACGTCCCTTGTGAGTAAGTCGTTCTTTTTACACAACGACAAACTCCAAGGTTTATTTATTTAACAAGTGTTTATTGAGCTGCCTCCTGGTGCAAAGAGCTTTAGAGTAAATTTTATCCTCAGCTGAGCCTGGAACTCTGATCTGATGGACTATTTGTGATAGACTTTTTTTACTGGAAATGGTGTGATTTGTATATTGACAGTATGCCATACATGGCAGCATTTCTTCGTAACTGAAGAATAACATCCATGGAGTAAAGGCACAGAGCAGGAATGTGCTGTTTGGTGACTGATCACAGAGAGAGCACATTGCTACAATACGTGTCTTTACTAAAAAGTACTTGTGGAGTTGTGACTTTCAAGTAAACTTGCTAAGGTAAGAAAAAGTGTTTTATTTGTATGTTAACCAGGAGGGTAACAGATACATGTGACAGAAATCTAACTTACAGTGATGTAGGCAAAACAGAAAGACTTACGGCAGCCTTAGTTTTGAATCCGTCTAGACCGAGCGGCTCTCACGGTGTCAGCAAGGACTCATTTGTGCTCTGCCTTTTCCACTTTGGGTTCTGCCCTCCGACTCCACACTGAGATCCTCAGACCCTCCATCCAGGACAGGGACAGGCTAAAAGAGCGTGTCTTTTCCAGAAGCCCTAAAACAGCTCTTCAGTGACTATAATTGAGTTTAATGTCTTTCCTTGGGGGGTGCATGGAGTAGGGCATGAAGTGACTGTCACACACGTTCATTGTTTGTGACGGTATTTGAGCTCCTCTGTATTGAAAGAGGTGTCAGCAGTTTCTCGACGTGGTCTTTTTTTCTCCCATGAATATGTAGCTCAATAATAATTTTAACTGATGTTAAAATGTAATCATTGCTTTAGAATTTTGGAAAATACAGAAACGTAGAGGGTGAAGGGAGTGGGAGGCAGGATTTAAATGTGCAGATCACAAAGGTAGAATCTTAAGACTGGGGAGGTCATGGCAGAAGTTCTGCAGCAAGCATATACTGCTGACCATCCTTTGTGGATGTCGTCAAAGCCCACCAGGACACAGCTGTGGTCAATTATTTTTATTGACGCTTGCTGCAGCAAGACAGACCACACACTGGAGGGCTCTGGGTGCTTCATCAGTGAGGTGTGAGGAGGGGCTTGTTAAGAATTTGAGCACATGAAAGTAATTTTGAGGAGGGCGCAAGTGAACACGGGTTTCTTCTGCATTGGGTGCTATCAGAAAGTGGGACTCATTCTGCAACTGCGTGTCTGTTTTTATCTAGGACGTGGGAGAAATGGGACCAGGTGGAGCAGCAGCAGTACTTGTGTCAGCCACAAGAGGGAGATGTTCACTCATTTGTGTGGCTTGTACAGTGGCTCTTGGTCTGTGCTCAGGTGTGGTTACAGTATCTCGCTTCATCAGAATCACAGAGGGGACCTCATGTGATGTCAGAGATTCAGGAATTGTTGTTGTTCAATAGGAGAACACCATGGCCTAGCTGTGAGTGCCAGACCAGCTCTTAGCTCCCCAAAGCTCCTTCTTCCCTCACATGTTGAAACCTCTTAAATATGTACAAGTAAATTAATAGTGTAAAACAAAATGATGAAATAAGTCAATTAAATTCTACCTGAAATATGGGGACATGAAGCAGGGGAAGAAAAAGCATTGTTACTTATAGTCCGTAAAGGAACTTCATTACTTTGATAATCATATAAGACAAAGTTTTAAGAATGTTGAGGGGAACCACTTATGGAATTAATAAAAATGTTCATATCAGTGCAAAGATGAAAGCAAAGAAACTTAGCCTTAGAGCAAAAAAATAGGATGGAAGGGAAACAGCAAGAAAGTCAACCAAATGAAGACCAAGGTAGCGATTGTTGGAATAAATGAAAACAGTTTAGATTTCCCTCTTTAAAAGATAGACTCCACCTGCAAGCTAATGATATCCTACTTACAAAAGAATGTCTAAAATAAAACCATAGATTGAAAGGAAAAAAGGTGCACAGATGTATCAGGGAAATAAAAATGGCCAAGGATTGGATGTCTGCCACATGCCAGGCAGTCTTACACACAATGCTTCGTTCGACATTGCTATAATTATATGAGGCAGTGTTATTAACCTCAGTCCACAGATGAGAAAACTGAAGTTCAGAGAGATGAATAACTAGTAAGTCAACCATAGCCGTGCTTTCAATTTGGATTTACGTCTGACGTGCCGTGCCCACTACACTACATGGCCTCTCCAGAAATCAGGAGTAATGATGTGAACACTGGGCCGAGAATGTAAAGCAAGCAAGCAAAGAGGCTTCCCTGATGAAGAGAATCGTTTCACATTGAGAAGAGATACACTGCACGAGCACAAAAGTTAATGTACAAAGAGCATCAAAATGCATGAGGGAAATTTATTAGAGAAATTAAAGGAGGTATTAACAATTACTAAATTCTCACAGCACAGCCTTAAAGATGATGTAAACAAACAAATCATCAAGGACTTGAATAACATCACAAAGCAGAATGAGCATATAGCCAAGAGAATACAGTTATAAGTCGTTTCCTTCGAGAATTTGATAATGAGGTAAACCTGCTCTTGGAGGGGTTTGTTACAAAGGCTACTTACAGATCAGACCAGAAGTATGGAGTTTTCTGCTTTAGAACGTCTCAGATTAAGATCCCCTTCCTGGACTACAGATATTGGAATTATTGGTTACAGAATATAAAATAGCTGGATGAAAATATTTAAATCTTTAATATTTACTTAAATAAAGAAGAGGTGGAAATGTAAGCAAGAAGAGGCTATAAAAAATGACCAGACAAGTTTAAAATCAACCAAATACAACTTTTAGAAATGGAAAATATAATAATTGAAACTAAAAACTGGGATTAAACAGATTAGGTGCAGCTAAAAGAATTAGTGACACAAATGTATATGCACAATAATGTACTGTATAAATGTGTATAAATTACATGTATATATGTGTGTATTATATATTTATAATAGTGGAATCAGTGTAGCCTTAAATATTTTTATTACAATATATAGAAAAATAACATAACTGAAGAACCTACGAAAGATACAAAACAGCTGTCCTCAGGAAGTGCATCTGTGAGTCCATACTGATACAAATAGATGACTGAGTAAATATATAAAGGGAGAGGAGACAAGTCTCCCTTGTGGAAGCATTCCAAATAATTTATGTAGATGCTCCATCTTCAAGGAGGTGGCACAGAACTCCCACTCCTTGAACGTGGGCCAGGCATGGTGATTTCTTTCCAAAGAACAGAAAAGAGGCAAGAAAGAAGGATTGGACAGTGGAGAAGCCTGACCATTGCCGCCTCAGCAGATCAAGGTCCGCGTCGGCAGTGGTTGGCGTGTTGACCATGTGCGGGTACCACGGATAGAATGTGGTGAAAAGGGCACTTCACCTCTGTCATCTTCCTCTGCGAAACTTGTAGCACCAGTCTAATCATGAGAAAAATGTCAGACGGATGCCGTTGGAGGAGCATCCTACAAAATACTGAGCAATACTCGTCAGGACTGTCGAGGTCATCCAAAACAAGAAGAGTCGGAGAGAGTCACCGCCAGAGGGAGCCTCTGGAGACATAACTGAATGCAGCGTGAGGTCCTGAGTGGGATCCTGCACTAGGAAGACGTGAGGAAGTGTGAAGAAACTGTGGACTTAGGTGGTAATAACGTATCACTACTGATTCCTTAATTGTGGCAAATGTACTATACTTTTGTAAGACGTCAGTAATGGGGGAAACTGAGTGCAGACTGAGAATTCTCTGTGCTGTCTTCCCAGTTTTTCTGTAAACCTAGAACTGTCCTAAAAATATTTTGCATGGTTATTCTTTAAATGTTTATTAGGTGGTATTTGATACAAGCGAAAGAATACATGTAATTAATATGTAGCTTAAGAAGAATAACTATAAAAACCCGTGAGCCTGTCCCTCTAGTAATGAGTTAGAACATTACTAATAAATATATTGAAGTTCCCAGTCCCATCAGTCTTTTTCCACCCCTACCTGCTACTTAATTTTGAGTTTAACATTTCCTTTCTTTAAAAACATTTTGTTTTACAGATGTATATTTGTGGTGTGAGTGTATGTGCTTGGTATGAGTTAAGAATCCAATTCCACTTTTTCTATTAATGTGTTTTTAAAAAAATCTCTCAAATATATGGTCAGAAAAGTTCCAAGTACAGTACAAAGAACTTGTTTCTTGAACCATTTGAGATTATGTTGGCACATGATGCCCCACCATTGCTGAATATTCTACGTATTTCCTGCAAAGAAGGATATTCTCCTGCATAACCACAATAGAGTCATCAAAATCAAGAAGTTAACACATATAGATTACTACCATCCAATCAGACCCCGTTACCGTTTCACCTGTTCAAGCAAAAATGCCTGTAACGCTGCTTCGGTTCCTGCTGTGCGGGCTGAGTCTTCTCTGACCTGCCCACGGGGAGCTCTGCTGTCTGGCTGGGTGAATTCCACACGCAGTCCAGCCGTCACTGCCCTAGCT